TCTCATCAGAGGATGCTGCCACATCATGATAATTTTTAAAAATGGCCTTTTTAATGCAGCCCTTGGAAACTTTGCAAGAAATGTATTGATTTGAAATACTCAAGCTGAATTATTGAGCCTTGGCAAAGGGGAATAAATCTTTCCCATTCCCCATTCCTGTTGCCAAGTGCAGCTTCCAGGAAGCAATGACTGTCCTTTCTGGAAATGAAGCAAAACTCAAACATTCTCTCACCTTCCCTTTACTTCACCCCTCCCTCTTCTCTTCACTTGCAATTCACTGACAAAAGCACTTTACATTCATTGCTCATTTGCCTGAATAGGCATCCGAATTAGTAATGCCCAAATTAGTAATGCCTGGCTGAGGCAGCTTCCTAAATAACGAGGCCTGATCGTTTTGGCAGACCCGGAGGTCTGTGGAAAGCAAGCTTGCCGCACGTCATTAGGTTAAACACTCTTCCGGTTTTATAATAAAATTTCCCCTACAGACCTGGATGTGTAAAGTAGAGGGTGTATGTTCACTGATGCTAGAGATTAACAAGACCAGGAGCCAGAACCAGGACAGGAAGATGGGGAGAGTGTGCGGGAAAGGGGGACCTGTGCTGGAGTGTTCTAACACTCATGTCAGGATTAACACAAAAATTTCCTGACATCTGCTGTTTCTTTCATTTCAGTCTGGGGTGATCATCTCACCTGGCGATGTTCCAGGGGAATTCCCGTCATTACCATCAAAACACGGTTTGGTCTAACAGTGCTGAGAGCTCATCTGTTTATCTCTCCATCCATTCACCCACTTACCCATCCATCTAACTGCTTACGTGCCAAGTATTCACTGCACCTTGTATATCAAGGTGAATGAGGTGCAGATTTTAAAGTCTGGGAGGGAAGAAAGGAACATAAAGACAGAATGACAAGTCAGTGCATTAGTGAAGGACCAGGAAAGACTTTCTGAACTGAAGGATGGATGACAGCTTTCTCCACAGAGGGAACAGCAGATACAAAGGTCTGGACACATGAAAGGGCAAAACCATTTGGGGAAACTTGGAGTAGT